CAGATGCATGCATATACTGACTAACTCAGAGAATATTTATACTGAATAATACTTGGAATTCAACAGTATTTGTCTCAACATTTTCAAATTCGTTCCAAAAAGCACTGGTTTGGCTGTAGTGCTGGTGTTTTACATTAAGAGATGCAATGTGTCAGAGAGGGTTTTAGCATGCTAACAGTCCAACAGTCTCTAAACGGCATGCTACAAACCCTGCCAATAATTAATAGCCTGTAAAGCACCATCACTAAAAATATTAAAGCTTAGGCTAGGCTACTAAACCATCCCGACCCGTCACGTGAGTCACGTGAAAGGACCTAAAGGGCTAGTCAGACTCCAGCTTATACCACAACAAACAGCCATCTCTGGTCAAGCCTGGCATTCCCGTTTCACAGCCGAGGACACGACGCAAGCGGAGAGAGCGAGAGCATCAGCAGTATGAGTCACCAACATCAGCTCATAAAACTCTACAGCTTCTGTCCTGCTTCCCAGCGTCACACTGCCTACACACTCGGCCTGTTGCACGCTCGTTTGTGATGCTAATGGCCTTTAATTTCACGCCGCTGCGTCTCGTACTTCAGGTAGCAGGAGCCTACATGCAAACGGAGTGAATTATATTCCTTTCAATTGATTGTCAAGGTGCCCAAGGGCGATTTCGACATACAACGGCCTCTCCTACACGCCGTCGCCCACGCAGAGCTATGAAAGGCATGCCGGTTACGAAAGAAATGAAACATCAGTCAGGATCTCCTCAGCTAGACGCTGCCTTCTATGGATGTCAGATGCATCGGTACCGGACGCATACTAACATGCAAATGCAAAAATATGATATGATATCAGTCCAGTCCTTCCACAATACACTGATAAATGCTCACATGCAAATTTGCATGTAAACTAGTGTGCATTTCTTGGTCAAAATGCCATTTTGTGGCATCTTCGCACAGCTGGGTTAATGCTGCTCTGTGCCTGCTCAAAATTCAGTGTAAAGATGCAATGCTGGATAAAAGCCAGTCTAAATTATGCCTGCTCTGATCCATATAAAAGCGCACAGTTGTATTTGTTGTGTAAATGCATTCATACATTACATAATGCATGAATATCCAGCATCAAACTGTCTACATCACGAAGTTTTGATCGTGGTATCCCAAACATTGTTTCTATTACACGAGGCGCAACGTGATGTAAACAAACAATGCTTCATTCAATATCGTTCATGTAGCATCTTTATTGTTATGTCAGACCTTTCAAACATATTTGCATTACACTGCCTCCTTCACCAGTAGTGGTATGTAACATATTTTATGTTCACCTGCGAGTACAATTAGTTTACCTGCTGTTAACAGGACGATAAATCTAATACCAAATTGAGTTCACGACTTCTTCCACCCGTAACGGTATTTCTGCTCGGTTCCCTCGCCATATCTGCTCAAATGCACGAGCAGTTGCACTTATTGTGGGCTCAACAGTCCTTCCAAGTTCGTCTTCCTCCATAATTAAAGTGGAAACCAGTTTACTAAATAATGTAAACCTGACTGACTGCTTCACTTCCACTTTAAACAGTCACCTTAATGCCACTTCAGAGGCGCTTCTGTGCCACCTTTGCAGTGTAAATTTGGCATTAGTGAGGTATTAACAGCTAGTTTTGTCTTAATCGAGTTAATGCTGCTCTGTGCCTGCTCAAAATTCAGTGCAAAGACATAAAGCAGCATAAAAGCCAGTCTAAATTAAGCCTGCTCTGATCCACCTCTGCCCCTCGTATAAAAGCTCACAGTTGTATTTATTGTGTAAATCTGAGCAGCATTAAATAGTAACCTACATGCCACTTCAGAGGCGCTTTTGTGCCACCTTTGCAGTGTAAACTTGGCATTAGTGAGGTATTAGCTGCTAGTTATGCCTTAACTGAGTTAAGGCTGCTCTATGCCTGCTCAAACTTCAGTATAAAAACGTAATGCAGCATAAAAGTCAGTCTAAATGGAGCCTGTTCTGACCCAAACACTTGCTGCAAAGACACCTAAATGCCACTTCAGAGGCGCTTCTGTGCCACCTTTGCAGTGTAAACTTGGCATTGGTGAGGTATTAACAGCTAGTTTTGTCTTAATCGACTTAATGCTGCTCTCTGCCTTCTCAAAATTCAGTGCAAAGACATAAAGCAGCATAAAAGCCAGTCTAAATTAAGCCTGCTCTGATCCACCTCAGCCCCTCGTATAAAAGCATACGTTATGCATTCGTACCACATCTGCGCAGCAAACACTTGCTGTAAAGACCCCTAAATGCCACTTCAGAGGCGCTTCTGTGCCACCTTAGCAGTGTAAGTTTGCCATTAGTGAGGTATTAACAGCTAGTTAATGCTGCTCTGTGCCTGCTCAACATTCTGTGTGAAGACGCAATGCTGCATAAAAGCCAGACTGACTTATGCCTGCTCTGATCCACCTCAGCCCCTCGTATCAAAGCACACAGTTATATTTGCCGTGTAAATGCATTCATACCACCTCTGAGCAGCATTAAACAGTCATTTAAATGTAATAAACACTAAGCCACATCAGATTCTGACTGTAAATAACATTGCATGCAAAACTTCATGTTCTATTGTTTTACAGCATCTAAATTGCTATCAAGAATCACTTAATTTTCCCAGTCCTGATCTAGCTACTGAAATCCTGTCTGGTCAAGCGGGTTCATCGGTCACATGGCCAGCTCAGTTTCCGCTCACACTTTCTGTTTGTCCTTCATTCAACATGCATAATAAAACACGCAAGCCGCATGGAGCGACTGTACGGACGTCCGGGTAAACGACCCATAAACGCCAAAGATATTCCCACAGCATTCATTAATCAATCGCTGCCCTTTAGGACTAAATATCTCATCTAAATCACACAGAAGTGCGCTTCAAGGACTTATAAGTAGTAAAGTATGACATTGCACAAGGGTGCGCAGAGGTTCGGTCACTATGAGGATGCAAAATAGCCTGCAAATAAAATTAGAATGAAAATATAAGTGATTCAACAGAGCAGGGCTATTATAGTAAACTAAAACTAATACCATAAAAAAAAACAAAAAACATTTTCGTTACTTGAAATAAAATACTTTAATTGAAATTAAATAATATATTAAACTTTAAACAATTTTTTTTATTTTATTTAGTTGCCAACATTTCTCATTTTCATTTATTTTAACTTGCTGTACTAAAATAACTAAATCTAAAATAAAAATTAATAAAAAACTATATAACATTTTAAAAATCAAATAAAAATATAAATATAATTTAATATAAATATGTGATCCTGGACCACAAAACCAGTCAATTTTGTGAAATTGAGATTTATACATCATCTGAAAGCTGAATAAATAAGCTTGTTATGATAGGACAATATTTGGCTGAGATACAACTATTTGAAAATCTGGAATCTGAGGGTGCAAAAAAACTAAAATATTGAGAAAATCATCTTTAAAGTTGTCCAAATGAAGTTCTTAGCAATGCATATTACTAATCAAAAATTAAGTTTTGATATATTTACAGTAGGAAATTTACAAAATATCTTCATGGAACATGATCTTTACTTAATATCCTAATGATTTTTGTCATAAAAGAAATTAAAAAACAATAACACTGCAAAAAGACAGCAATACTAGTAGTGCTGCCATATGAGTGAACCAGACAGTCCACACTAGATAGTCACTAGCAGCCTTGCAGAGGAGTGTCCAGTGTTTAAGGACTTCCTCATAGTTGACGATCGAGTGTCTGGAAGCAGATAATGCAGGCGAATGATGACAGACTGCTTTACTCAGAGATGCTGATGTCACTGCAGCCTCTGACGTCATCGTGAGAAATCAGACACAAACCAGAACCTCACAGTAATGCAGAAAAACACAAAATGTGTTACATTTCATTCCGTTTTAAAGTTGAAAGTAATTAAGCCATTAAGCCTTTTTTTTTGTATTGCTACATTATTTTCATGACAATGTCTGGATGCTTACATTTTGAGTTTGCTATTTTCTATTATGATTATTATTAGTCATTACTGTGCTAAATCATGAAAATGACTCCGTCCAGACATCTTTTTTTAAATAAGATATTATATTAATATGTAAAAAATATATTTTATTCTGTTAAACTACTCTGTACATACTCATGTCATAATATTTTTTAAAGCAAAAAATTTAATTTACAATTATAAAATGCATATAAAGAATATATTTTTTTATTTGTAGTTTTTATTTTTCTCAATTTTCTTTATCCAAAATTTAATATTTTATATTGTGTAAAAATATATATTTTTATATTCTGTTAAACTACTCTGTACAGTCATAATATTTTTTAAAAGCAAAAAAAAAGAATTTACAATATATAAAATAAATATAAAGAATATATATTTTTCATTTGTAGTATTTATTTTTTTTTATTTTCTTTATGCAAAATTTAAGGAATTTATAAATATAAGGCAATTTAAAATACTGGCATGATATATTAAAATCTACATTATACATAAAATTTCCTTTTTATCAGGAATATAATTTCATATCTATATCTATCTATCTATATATATATATGGTGTTACAAATAAACTTCATTTTCTCTATGCAACATACTATTTATTATTTGCGTATAGGACAAAACTAACATATATTTAGAATTCTACATGCACATTTTTAGAATTTAAGTAATGTAAAAACAATGCAGGCAGAGCAGAACCTTAAATTCTGTTTCTGTCTTCACATCTACCTGTCAAGAACACGGCCTGATCATATTACAAACCAAAAATAAAAGATATTATTTTCTCCCTGTCGGTTCGAGTCGCAGTATGGATTGAGTTTCAGGTCCGGAGGAGAGACACTCAAGTTTTTGCGCCGCTGCGGTGAATGTGTGTATGTGTGTGTGTGTGTGTGTGTGTGTGTGTAACGTCAGCGCGCGAGAGAACAACAAGCCCACAAATGTCTGATTGTGACTTTTGGCGGACAGCGTTTAAAAACACCTCAGAAAATAACGGTCGGAAAAGGCGCGTTACCTGCAGTTCGGCCCGCTCCACCTCCCATTGCGCCCGTTCCACCTCGAACCGGGCCCACTCGTGCTGCAGAAAGTGTAAAATCCCCGGAATACTGTACTGAGCGCGGGCCGTCTCTCCGCCGCCGTCGCCGTCGCCCGGTTGAGGCGCTTTCGCTTTCGTCAACGAAGCCTTTAAAGAACCGACTCGTTCGAACAAACCGATTCTATTAAATGAATCGCGCTTCTTAAGGCTGGTTTCCGCTCATTTCACGCCCACAAGCAGGTCAACAGATCGCTGCCAGCACGAAACGCTCCGTGATTGGACAGAACGAACAACGCGCAGTGTGAACAGCCAATCAGAGGCGAGTGCGCTGAGCATGCTGGGACTTGAAGTTCGGATGCGTTTGATCCTTTTTTCCTTCCAAACGTTCTCTTTCCGAGTTATTGTTT